CATTTGCATAGCAATTATGACTACAATGAAATTATAGCTATGAATATAATGTATATGCATGTTAACTAGAATTACAGTATAACTACAATTAAATTTATTAGTACTCACATTAGTATTACACCTTGAAGGAAGAACAATATTTTTACTTATGTTATAAAATAAGGCTCTCAAAAAAATAAATAAAAATTTTCAGACACGACCATGCCTCTGAAATTGATGGGGGAAATGAACATAAATATCAGGAAGCAGCTTTCAGGTAGTGCTTGCTGTCAGTGCATGAATTCATCTTTAAAATTAAAGCTATCTTTTATTGACTGAAAGTCAGTGATTCATTGTAATTATTTTATAGTTAAAACTATAATTAATGCAATAATTGCAGTTATAACATAATGGCATTTAGAATTACAATATAACTGTAAAAGCAATCAATTTTTTGGCTTAGCAGAAACTGACTAGACCAGATAATGTTGGTAAATCGATTCAGCTTCAAATTTCAGCAAACAACCTATATGTTTGGGGATCTTCGTGGTTCTTCTTCCATGAATACAAACCAGTTTCTCTTAGAAAATGCTCCACGAAGACATAGTTATTTTATATGCTTTTTTTGTATTTTTGAATACATACCATCTCCCCATGTACCACAGATGTACATTATGGGACTTACAAAAGTAAGTTAACTAAACCATTAAATATTACATGTATAAATAAAAACAGAGAACAGCAGTCTGGACTTCACAAAAGCAAATAAGTTCATTGACCACGTGATACTGAACTTTTTCAAATCATTCTGCAAGCATAATCTAGGGCTGCCATCGAAGGTACAGTAGGAAAAAATTAAATGTTCCAAATCTTGAGGTACTATTTTTTTAAATACTGACATAAATTAGTTGATCTGAAATTGAAACAAAATGGGTAACTTACAAATTTACCGTGACCATATAAAAACTGAGATCCTTTAAAATTAATAGAGAGGAAAGACTCGAAATGCAGTCTGTGCTAAACAGAAGGAAAGAGCTTTTTAGTGCCCTCAGGATAACAAGATGAAATATATTCATCATTCCACTTAGCTAAAAGCTTCTTATGAGGACTTCCAAAAACTCTTTGGAATGCTAATATACAGGAATGTATAGGTAAATTTATAATATCTATTTATCTATAATCTATGGGTAAATTTAAAGCATCTTAAGCTAAAAAATCAGCTCTTTCATTTAATCCACGATGATCATGCACGTAAGCAAAACGAATATCAATTCCCCTATTTCTAAGCGAACCATCAGTTAATAGAGTTTCAATTACTAATTTATCGCTGCTGGCAATATTGTTCAAAAGATGAAGAGAAAAAAAAAGAATCAAAACAACTAAGGTACCTTGAGGATGCTGTTCCATTATCCTTGATCAATTTGACACCAAGAATTTCTGCTTGAAAAACTGTGCATTCATTCCATGCACGGTTTATAAATAGCAAACCTCAGTTTGGTCTTCAAAAAGAACAAATGCAAGGCTAACCTTATTGTTCATTTTGCTCTCATCTGTAAAGAAAACTACATGAAAACACATTTCAGTAGTTTCTTTATAATCGCAGACATTTATGTGCTCTGAAGTAGCTGAATGAGGAATATTGGAGAAAAGGACATTTCCATTTATGCAGTCTTCCAAAGTATAATGGATGCACTGACTGCAGCTCGCTTTGCGTCAATGTTAAGACGTTTCGTGATAGCTGAACTGCGGCAACGTGGCATTTTAGACAACATGATTTTATGCATTATGGGGCGCCATCGCACATTGGTACATGTGTCACACGGTTACTTAGGCAACATTTCAGGAATGAACGAATTATAGGCCGAAACTTCCCCACTTCTTGGCCACCCTGGTCACCAGACCTCAACCCCTATGACTTTTGGCTATGGAGTTATCTCAAAAGCACTGTTTGTTGTGATAATCTAAACACTTTGGCAGAAAAGATTGCATACACCGACATATCCGTAACATTTCTCTTGATATGCTGAGAGCTTCTGTTGAGAACGCAGTAGTACGATTTAACTTGCTTTCGGAAATAGTAGATGCCACATTGAACATGCTTTTTAGCACGTTTAGGAAACAATTAAACACATTTTAATGTAATGCATTTATCTATTTACTGAAAACATAGGTTATATTTAATAAAAGCCTACTTCGTAATTAATATTATTACTGCAAGTTGAACTTCACCAGGGCCGCCGAAATTTTTACATTTTGAATGGAACCGGGCAGCAAAAAGTCTAGCACCAACCCTGAACTTAACTGAATAATTGTGCAGCATGATCTCAGATGGAATATAAGTCTATTTTTCTGCATCCACCGGTGGCCGAGTGATGAGATTGCTAACATTATTAGTTTGACTCTGGATAAAATCTCGACGAAGAAGCTGGATAAGCTTAAATATCACCTACCAATTTTCCATAGAAAGTCCTCCACGAAAGTATCCTTCCCTTTAAGCAGGTTGTGTGCTTTGCCATAATCCGTATAACTAATCTTCTGCCAAAACAGTCATCTACTGACACATAACAGAATTATGCTTGTTTATTTTTCTACCTGCTAAGTAGAAAAAGGGAATTCAAACTTCCCGTTTGAATTCCCTTTTTTCGTTTGAATTCCCTTTCTCCTTTATCAAGACTAAATGAAGTTTTCATGATTTATTTCCTTTGTAATATAAAAACAAAGATCAGTTCCATTAAAAAATCATCCATAAAGACATCTCTTTCTATAGGCGTATAATCTTCGTTTACTTTCCCTTCATAAATAATTCAAATCCTCATATCTGTTGGTGAACATCATAAACACTCACTCATATATGCATATTTAATTCTATATGAATTAGCCGAAATTAGTTCCTGTAAATACATTCCGCTTTAACAATATTTCATTTACATATTTAATGAAAATATGTGTAGTATTTAACAAAGGATTAATTAATAATTTATGTTGCAATTACAAGCTGTACTACAGGCAGAAATTAGCCCTTTTAGTGCCGAATGGCGATATATCGCAATTGGCAACACTTGCAAAAAGTGCCAAAACGATATATTGTTGCATATGCGATAGGCCTTAGTTCCGTACTATCTATTCTCATTACAAGAGTTAAATTAACTGCAAAATAAAGTTATAAAAAAATGGTCTAATTTCGTTGTAAAATTATAAACAAAATTATTTTGGGGTTTTCATATTGTTTTATATCGATGTTATTCGTATGATTTTCAACAAATATTGAAATGCAATTAGCATTACTTTATTATTTCCTTATATAATGCTTTTCGAATTTTGTAAATGTCATTAATAGTTTGATTTTTATGAGCTTTTCCTCATCTGTTGCAAATTCGTCAAATCGGTTCATTATTCTTTGTATAGGTCCGACACTTTCGCTCGTAATTAGATTATATAATTGCAATTACTTTGTAATTGTAATTACAATTTAATTGCAGTTACATAGTAATTGTAACTGAAAAAGCAATTAAATGCTCCATTTACAATTACAATATAACTGTAGTTGTAATTTTAATTACATTGCTCCCAACTCTGCAATTAAGTTTCTCTCTATAGTAAATAGGATTTGATAAACCATTTGTTTAAGATAACCCATAAACAGAAATCCAAATGTGTCAGGTCTAACGGTCAAGGTGACCACCCAGTCAGACCTCTGAATCCAATTCAATGACCTGAATATTCCTATTCCAAGTAACCATACAGAGAAGAGTTGAATTATGCCAAACTTTGTCATGCTGGAGTCGTAGGGCATATAATATTGGTAAGGGTATATTATTAAGAAAGTTAGTCAGTATATCATGAAGTTTATAATAATAAAGAGAAAAATGTGATCTCTTCTATGCACTGGGTACAAAATCATCTGTCTCGATTGCATTTTTCTTTTGAAAAACTGTAGGTCATAGAAATATGGTTTACTTGGTCATTTATATTTTCTCTGAGCGAGTTATCTAACTGAACAGATTTTATGCAGTGATGATGGGAAATCTTGTAAATTGAAGCTTTTATTACATTAAAATTTTCAGCCTTTTATGGCCCATGACTTCAATTGTGACTTAGCAATTCTTTGCTGTTAGCCATTTAGTATTCTGTCCATCAATCTGAGGTCAAACAATTCCTCCTTTGTAACAAGAAATTTCCCCGTTAGGGCTGGAGATTTCTCCACTGATTGAGAATCCTGCCCTCTGCTATTTAACATTGCTATTAACAACTGCTATTTAAATAAATGTTTTAATTAACATTAAAACATTTATTTTAAATGTAAACTGATTTTGAATCCTGACTGCTATTTACAGCGCATTCAGAGGGGCAGGCTCATAATTACAAAGTGGTAAAATCAAAAGCTGCAAGATTGTTGAAGTTGACACTTCTCAGATATGGAATCTCTATAAAATTTCTTGATGCAGAATTTTATATATATATATATATAAAAGTCTTAGCTGTTAATGTTTGCAATAAGAAGGAAAAAAAACTCAGCTAATAAAATATACATTATGGCTCAACTAAATAAAAACTAAAACTAGTATCTTTATGGGTAAAATGCATGGAGGTACTTGAAAAAGAATTTGCTGACTGATTATTTTTCCATGCTTACTGCTGATTTAAGTTCAAGACTTTTCAAAATTAATGCTGGAAAATAACTACGAAACAACATTCATTATTAAATTTATAACTGGTCCCTTTATTTAGGTTTAAATTTTAAGTTACTTTTTTTATACTTAATTAAGTATGTATCTATAAATTTTCCATGTAGAGGTATGAGTTTTTATTTTAAATACAGACCTCCTCACCCACAATGTTAAGACCATTTTCATAAAGTTCTGGACATTATTTTAATGAATTTTGTAATTCAAATATAAAATCTGAATTAATTTTCATTTTCTGGAAGATGATGTATTATGTGTTGTAAATTATCATTACATGGAAATGGAGTTCAAATGAAATTTAAATTCTGTTAAATAATTTATTTCCTTTTCCTTCAGGGTTTTGGAGGCTTACCAGTATGCATGGCGAAAACCCCTTTCTCGTTATCAGATGATGCCACAAAAAAAGGAGTGCCAGAAAACTTCACAATTACTGTTCAAGATGTTAAACTCAGTGCTGGTGCTGGTTTTGTATATCCTTTACTTGGCTCAGTAAGTATAATATCAGGACTTCTAAAATTTAAGAAAACTGCTCTAGATATCTGTTTCTTTCTTTATGTGTTTAATGTTTAATTTTAAGAATTTTTATAATTAAACAAATAATTTGAATTTAGTTTTTTATTATTACAAATAAATATGAAACAATAAAAGCAATAATTAAAACTTTTTTTTTTTTTTTTTTTTTTTTTTTTTTTTTTTAGATGATTAGATTTGTAGTCATTTAATATGAAACATGATTTTTTGAAAATTTAGTTGTGCTATTTTAGGTGCTATGAAGGTAGAGTTATTTCTTTTAGTATACTTTGTTTCTGTTTATTTATTTGGCCGTTATTTGTTTGCACACTTTAGAATTAAAATGTACTGACAATTTCAGAAAATATAAATTTTATCATTAGACATAAAACCAAAAACAACTATCCACTTTAATGAGTATCTTCTAATCAGTCGTTTTTCATATGTAAAATATAACTGTCTCCAGATGTGTCTGAAGTTCACATGTGGTATAAAATCAGTTTCATATAATTTTAAATTTCTTTCATATATTTGTTGTTGCTTCTAATCCCTACTCTTGGGGTATGTAGGTGCTAGAACAACCTCATAAATGCTCATATGTGAGGCAAACAAAAGGCATTGTTTGGCCTTGGGCCTCAAGGCCTTGGGTACTTAATTGGTGATATATGACTTTGCCTAATTCTGACTTAACTTTGATTAAGAGCAGCTTGATGATGAAATCCAAGTGCTTCATTTTGTCTCTTTCAGTACCAACAATAAACAACTTACTCTGCTAACCATACTATATTAATAAAAGTGGCTGCCCATGTACTTTCAAAAGGATGATTAATTTCGTTTTAAATTTTTAAGAACGGTCTACATTACAGATTTAAAGTTTAATTATGTTTGAATCAAAATGAATTCTTAAATTGCATTTTATTTACGATTCAGATAGTATGATTATTTGGAATACACTTTTCTTCATTCACTTACATGTAAAAAAATATTTCACTAAAAGTCTAAGTCAACTGAAGAATTTACCAATGTTTTGACGACAAGGTGGGTGTTTTTTTTTTTTTTTTTTTTTTTTTTTTTTTTTTATGTTTATTCTAAGCTACTAAGCTTGCAAACAGCCACATTTTTTTAATTATGCTATATAAAGAATTAATACATATATTTACTTGAACACTTTTAAATTACTAATTCAGAAGTCAAACAACAAAAATCAGCATTATATTTTCAAATTCTCATCTTGTTCATTTGCGCTTTTGCAGCTGGCAATGGTGATTCGGTAAAACCATCGAAACTAGTCCTGTGAAAATTTGAAAATATAACGCTGCTTTTTGTTGTTTGACTTTTGAATTAGTATTTGTTCAGCGTGTTATTGTGTCTTAACTTTTGAATTAATTAACACAATTGTTTTTTATACATCAGTTTTAGAGATTACCTCATTATCATAGCTTCAAACAATAATACTAACATTCATACATTCCAAAAAATATTTCAAAAGGAAATACGGAAAAAATTAAAGTAAAACATTAATTGCATAGTTTAACTGCACCAGAATTTTTATTATCAGTAATATTTACATATAAATATATATTATTATGCACACTGAATTTTTCATTGTGCTAATTGTTAATATTTTAACCATTTTAAATAGATCTTGTAATTTAAATATCTCCTTTAATATATACATTTCAGAAATAAATATTCTGTAGTTAGTATTACAATTTTGATTGAACAAATGTATATTGACCTCTGTTTATTTTTTAGTTATTAAGTAAGTTTTATTATTAAAATCTGAGAAATGTATTATTTATTCTGCTTTCATAGGTACTCACTATGCCAGCACTTAGCACTAGGCCTTCTTTTTATGATATGGATATTGATGCTGATACTGGAGATATTGAAGGTCTTTTCTAATAATATTTTTTAAGCATATACACAAGTAAAAGAATTTATTTTAAAAAAAGACAGCAGTATGAATATATGATGAGAATATGATTCTGATAGATTTGAATGTATCAGACTGTAAATTTTATACGCATATTCAAAGTATACATTTTGCTAATACATAGTGTAATTGAAGTATAAATATGAGTATTTTTATTTAATTTTATTTCATAAGGTGTTCTTTGTATATGAAAAACATATTTTTTAAAAAAAATTCTTTGTTTATGAAAAATTTATTTTTGTAAAACATTCTTTCCTTTTTTATTGACTGCATATAAAAGTTTTTCATCTTTATTGTACCAAATAAATATCTATTAAGTATGTTTTGTTAATTGAACAGAAAATTACCTACAAAGTGTTTTCCAAAAACATACCATTTCATTAATTATTATTTATATGTATACCAAAGTGAAAGATAACTGGTATACCAGCTTGATATTTAATAGATTCCTAACAGGAATATACAGATCTGAGTTTTTGAGCACACCAGCAATGAATTCTGATGTTATTTTAAGGCAGTGCTATATCCCTAATCTTTTGAAATGATTCCTGCCAACTGATAATCTCATTCACTTAGTCTTTTTTTAAGCTATACTATTTGTCCTGATCTCAAGATTTTGTCTCAGTTCTTCCATACTTTTGAAATAATTATATACACAAATGGAAATTTTGTCTTTACCTCTGAAGTAACATGATCATTAATAAACTGAAAAGTACTAGACATAAAATCTTGCCATTCTTACAGCAAGCAGTAATTCTAGAAGCTTTCATTGATGTCTTATCATTCACTGGTAGAAGCAAATTTGTACCAGTGTTTCTTGTACTTGAGTATATACAGAACTTGTACTTGAAAAATAGACTTAACATTATTTTGGGGACCCAACCCAGGATATATTTTTGAAATTATTGAAAAGTCTAAACAATTTACTGAAACATTAAACTTTATTCATTCAGTTGTATTTTTCACTATGCAGGACTCTTTCAGAAGTGTTTTTTTTTTTTTTTTTTTTTTTTTTTTTTTTTAAACAACATAAAATTCACAAGAAAGTTCTGAATTCATTTTAACAGTAGATACTGAATGTCTACCTCTTTCTACAAGCTGAATATTCCCCAAAATAAAAAGAACTCTCTCAGCTGGATCAGATGTCCCAGGCAAAGACATCGCAAACTCGACCATTTTAGAAATATTGCAACATGAAAAATCAGTCTTTTGAAACATCTTAAAAATTGCTTTCCACTTTTCTTCAATAGTATCTGGTACTTTTTCATTAACCACAACCTACCCTTTAGTTTTGAATCACCTGGTTCAACAATGCACATTCATCAATATTTACGAAATCATTTTATAAGTTCATTAACAATTTGTACACTCCAAGTCAGACCAGGCAATTTCAGTTTGTAAATTTATCCATTGAAACTTGATAACTTTATTAAAACTTGTTCTTCACAACTAGTATTGGATAACAGAATTATAAAAATTGTCTATGCTTGAGATGAGAGTAATTTTTGTTCCTGAGCATCATTTCTTTTGAGCATTAATGCATAGTAATTCTTTGGAAGAAGATGGTATAAATTTGTGGGGGGGTTCTTTTTTTAAGTTGACAAATTGATTCAGAATATGTCTGAAATGCTTCTATTGTTGTGATAGAATTAGCTTCCAATTTCAGAACTGCATTATTAAATAAGTGTGGAGTACTATACAAAAATTTCAAAAATGATTCACTTTTTAGATTTTCAAAAAATTAAATAATCTAGTATATAAGTATGATTTTAAGCCATCAAAAATGGAAAGAATTCTTCCTGTTGCAGGTAACAAACTAAGGAACCTTGATCTGCTATGAGATTTTTTTGTAATCACAGAACTCTAAGTTTCGTTACAATAGGTACGTGCAAATACTTATAAATTTTTATAATAATTTCTATATCCAGGGGTTAGAGATTGATTGATTGATTGATTGTAGTTCCTGGCACAAAACTTTACCAGGTTATCTGCACCAAACAAAGAGTAAAAACAGTAAACACAAAGTTTCATATGTACAAATACTATACATTTGATATGAGGTAAAAACAGATTACAGTTTATAAGGTCAGTGTCCTTTAAAAAGTAGAACAACTTGTGATGAAGGCTTTTCCTTATTCAGTTATTTAAATCCAATTTTAAACATTTAAAATGTTTTTCGCAAATATAATTAAAACTATGACATTCTAATAAAATATGGTGAACTGTCAGATCTTCATGACAGTTAGTTTAATGAGGATTCTTCTCACCTTTCAGCAAATATTTGTGAGTTAGTCGACAATGACCTATTCTCAACCAAGTCAAAATAACTTATTCTCTTGTACTTGCTGTAGACGGCCAGCATTCAATTGTGGGTTTAACATTTATGAGCTTGCTATTCGTTTGGTCATCCCAATGCCTCTGCCATTTATTAAAAATTTTATGTTTGATCATCGTACCGACGTCTTAAGTGGAATCTGGGAATTAGATATTGTAGTAGCAGTTTTAGCTGTAATGTCCACTAGTTCATTCCCTTTTATGCCAACATGGCCAGAGATTAGAAAATCTAATGCTATATACCAAATTCTGCAAAATGTAGGCTGAACAACCATTTCCTAAGATAGATCTATCTGAACTTTTCTGAACACATTTTCATTCCCCTTTCTCTTCATATCATCAAAATTGTTGTTAATGTTATCAGCAGTATAACAGAAAATTCTCCACTACACAGTGTGTAACATTCATTATTAGTATTATTACATAATTTCAAAATTTGTATTCCTACTGCAGTTTAACATTAAACATACATTTAATTTTTTCCCCCCCACTGCTAAACGAATAGAGATAAAATAAAACGAATAGAGATAAAATTATGAAAAATATGTAGACAAGTTACTTCACACACAAAAACAACATAAATACATTGCCCCTGTTGTATTGCCAAATAACAAACAGTTGTGGCAAGAACAGTAACTATGCCCCCATCAAACCCAATGTCAGCACTTGCTCCAAGACAGTGAATAGATGGGCGGTTTAAAAATGTGATATCGAAGATATAGGTCTAAAATTTTAAAAAATCAACATCAGTCATAAAATTCTCTAACTAAAAAACCAGAACTGTCCAAGCTAATCCGAGTCGTATGGTAAGCCTAATCAAAAGCCCTCCCACTTGTCTAAGACAAATCAGATACAGTCAATTTTGTAATGCAATTCTTTAAATATTATCGGATCTACAAGTTATTCATGACTGTGTGTCAAAAGAATTTTCTGTGAGAAATAAAAAAATTTTTTAGATCTTCTATGCCTGTTCTGTGTTCAGTACTTTTACTGCTGTTAAGCTATCAGAAAAATAGGTAAGGATTTTTCAGCAAAAACTGGCCAAGCTTTCATTTGTTCCATCGAGGATGCAAAAGGGCAATCTTCACTCCTAATTTCGGTTATCAACGTCTTTGCATCTATCATAAAATCATCCATGCTAAAAAAATACAGGATGAATGCTTTCATGCTTTATATCTGGTCAAAGCAAATGACTCCATTCAAGAAGCCATACTAAGAAAAGTTTCAATTATCATTTGGCTGGTTTGCTGTAATTTGTTTTAAAAAATTATTATTGAATGTTTGCAGAAGCACTGTGTAGTAACCACCCAAAATATATCAGAAAACTGATTATATTTAGACATTTTATTTCATCAAGGGGGAAACATTTGAAATTTCTTTCCATTCTAAATAAACAGCAAAATAATGCACTTTTAAGACTAAGCGTTTACTGAAATGTTTATTTACTTTCTTAAGTCTGCCTTGCAAATTAATATACTTCATTTCTTTTTATAGAAGAAAAAAGAAATGCACTAAGAAATAAGAACTACACAAAACATCTAAATTTCTTTATTTACATGACTTAATACTGACATCAATAATATAGTAAAAATCACAATATAAATTATTTTAGTGAACAGATATTTAAATATGCACAACTGGTGTACACAACTGGTGTTTAAAAATTAACACTATCTGTCAAAACACAATTTTTACACTTTTGTACAATTTACAGTCATACTACTATGGGCTATTAGTGGGAAAGCAGCATGAAGTTAATATGTATGAATTAATATACCTATCTCTCTTTTCAAAAATAAAGAAATAGGCACATTTTAATTCAGTTTATATTTTACAAGAATTGCACAAGTATTTGCTACAGTAAATACCCTTAATGTAAGGTACAGTACATGAGTAGCAGGATCATAACTACTCTTGACTAGATATACTAAAAATTAGTGTCTCTTATACCTTTCATTTTTATAAATGGTTAAAGGATGGTTGTTAACTGAAGAAGTTTGAATTTTGATACTAAATAATACCATATGGGGGGATACATTTTTAGAGAAAATGGCATTTTATTATGGATTCTAAGCACCTGATTTAATTTGTTATATATCTTGACCAACATTTATTAATATTTACATGTAACTGCATCCATAATCCCTCAGAAGATCTAGACCAACATTTATTAATATTTACATGTAACTGCATCCATAATCCCTCAGAAGATCTTGACCAACATTTATTAATATTTACATGTAACTGCATCCATAATCCCTCAGAAGAAATATCGACATAATGTTAACATAATTATTCACACTGAAGTGTTAAAGGTTTAACAGTCTACAGTACATTTCTTCATTATTGGCTACTGATGTGTTAGTATATTATAAATGTAAATGCCTATATATAAATGGTATATATGATTAGATGAAAAATTAGCAACCAAAAGACAATGGTATTTAAAATTTTAGCTTTAACTTTTACTGGTTTTTTATCCATACCTTCGTAATTTATGAGTTAATAAATTATTTCCAAAAAGAATAGATTTTTCAGCTATATTAACAAAATCATGCAAAAAATTTTAGCTTTTTGAACATATTAAAAATGAAAATAGAAGGGAAAACTGCTAGCAGGAACTAGAAGTTACTGAAAACAAATTTTTCAAAGAAATGTTATTTCTCCTTCTTACATACAGTACACACCCTTTTATCTGCTTTAAGCAATCAATGGAGTTTTCAGAGGTCTTTCAGCTTATGCTTCTGTGAACTACAGTTCAGTTTTAGAAAAATGAAAAATTATTATTTTGATTAAAAAGGTAATGCTTACTTCATATTTTATATATCATATATTATGTATGCATTTCTTTATTTTATTTATAACCTAGAAATACTATTTCATATGTTTTTCATGAATTAACCAATCATTCATATGCAGCCTACAGTCTGGCTCCAGTCAGATCAGTTAATTGGAAGTCTACTATACAGCTATAAGACAAACATATTATTATATAAA